AAAATTAATATAGTGGACAGTTTTGGTTTTGCGAAATCATAGTGTGTAACATTCGTATTGAACCCCCCTACCCCTAGTCAGTTGTTATGAAAAATCACATGACTACACTCTACCCTTAAAGTTCAATATTATTATGATGCACTTGTTTCCTAACCTTTATATCTTTAAGAATTCGAGTTAAATTATTAAATTTCATTAATTGATTTTGATTGATAATAAAATAAAAGAAGAAATCGAAGCAGTAGAAGGAATGGTGGTGGTGTTGGTGTTGGCAGCCGTGATGAGAGTAGTAGTAAAATTGTTAGATAGTAAATTATTTATATCGGGTAAAGGTTTTGATGGTAAAGAATAAAGAATTTATATTATTACGATTAAGATGGTTTAGATTATAAAATTAAGTCATATAACAACTATAATCAACTTCTATTTTTTTTATGCAAGCCTTTGAAAGCATTCTCCATTTTCTTGATTTATTAATTCAACATGCTTGACAAGTATTTTCTTTTATATTCCTTTACTTATAAATATTACTATATTATAAATGGTAGTTTTGAAATGTAATTCTTTTTTATTGGTTTTTTAATTGGATTCTTGTTACTACTATATCTAATAGTCGCAGGAGAGTATCTTTACTTAGAAGCACAAGATTGATTATGTGCGTTTATAGATTAGTGTATGATGATGACTTGTGATTTTATATATATCTTTTAAATGTCTATCAAACGTGGTTCATATATATATATATATATTTATTTATTCAAAAATCTAATTCACTTGTCACACCTGTCGAAATTTTCACTTGTTTCGAATCAAGAAGTATTAGTAATTAGTAATAGTATAAAAACTTTCGCTAAATCGAATTTTAGTTTTGTCTATCAAGCACACAAAAAAAAAAAAAATAAATTGTAGATTTGAAGTCAGGGCCTTTCTCTACAAAGTTTTTGTTGATTTGTCACGTAACCTCAAAGTTGCAAGAGTTTACTCGAAAATTGACATATTTTATTGTAACAATTTATGGCTACATAAACCATTAAAAACAAAACAATAATGGGAATTGCTATTTCTCACCGGTGGTGATTGTCACTACCTAAGGAATTATACAATTTATGATTAACCCCAACCCTAACTCCGCCCCACGCAAATTTAATTCCTTAGGTGGTGACAATCACCACCGGTGAGAAATAGCAATTCTAAACAATAATAATTTTATGGTTGCGTAACAATTCTTTAATAATTAAACAAAAAAAAAACAAAGTTGTGTATAAACAATAATCAAATCACGAGTATATTTATCTGGTTTTCCTCTGTCGCGTGATTATAAGGTTTTGATTCTTCCATTTTCTTTGCATCGACTGTTAAGGCCTGGATCATGTCTGACGATATGACATAGTCACTGAGGATTGTCTCCAGCGCATGGAGTCTATAAGTTAAATATTCGACTTGATCTTCCATCCTCACCTTCTCCCGTTGAGTGCTTTTCACGAGAGGAATAATTGGTAAGCGAATAAATTTGCCTTTCGTTCTTGAAAAGCAACAAAATTTTTGCACGATTCCAAATGGCGCCAAAATTTTTGTGCCTGGTTATAATTTACAAATTGTACAGCACATTAAAATTACGACTGACTTATAAAAAAGAGACTGCATTAACATTAAAAACAAAAAATTACCAAAAAGAACCGTAAACATGGTCAACATTAAACCAATTAAACCTCCGATGGAACCAATCCATCCACCAACCTTTAATTAATTAGTTTAGTATTTCCTTTTTTATAAAGCAAGTCTGTTGTTTATAATTCAATTGAACTTACTGTGTCGTCCCTTTAAGTTTGATTTCGTTGGATTGAATAAAGATCATCATTAATACTTTGATGTTGGCTACGTTAAATAAATGTTACAATAATTAATATATTTAACTCACTTGACCTCCTGTTCTTGTTGAACAAGATTGGTTAATGCGAACAGGCCAATGGACAAAATTTTTGTATCATTTGTGGTTGTGTCGGGCTTCAACGGGTAGTCGAGAACTAAAAAAAAAATCGTCATTGACTATATTTTTGCAATATCATAATTCACAAATATACCAGGACCCCAAAATATATATCTAGGGGATAAGGTCCAATGTGTCGCCATCATAGAAGCATCTGATGAGGCTTGATTTTTTTAAAATAAAAATTAAACTTACATTTAGACGTGGTTATCAATGGAAGTATTATTTGTTCTGAACCAAATCCTAAATAGGATGGCCAGCTGCGCGTAGAATAGGATCTTTCCACTCTGGTTAAGGAGAATCTAATGTGCCGATTGGCATCTAGTGCGTAGGTATTTACATACTTTGTTGAATTTATTAGATCCTGGAGGTGGTTTTCTTCAGGATTTTGTTCGCCAATGCGCAATAATTCTGTATATTTTCATAAATGCTTGTATTAAATCATCTGAACTACGTATTGACATGCGTTTATTTACATAACATAAATACCTTCATCAAGAAATTGCATCTTGATAATCTCCGATTCATTTATATTTACGGGGGTGTTCGTTGTAAAAACCATGTTAAGTTGGCGCACACCATTCTCGCTGATTTCCAGCTTTTCGTAAGAAGGTGTGAATTTATACATATAATAGTCTTCATGGAGGTACTGCGTGATTCTATCATCACAAGAACTCGTGGCTTGATTTTCCCACACTATCATATAATAAAAAGTTTACTATATATTATAAGTTCAGGTATTATTAACGTTAAAAACAAACAAACATATGGGCCGATTTTTACGCGTCATTATCAATATTTGGCATAATATGAAAATATCACTGTAAAAATCAACCCATATTAAAATGAACAATACAATACCACCAAGACCTTCAGCCGATAGATATGTGCAACTTATATTCATTGGGAATTCCGATCGAAAATTAATGGTCGGAATGTCCAGATGGTTCTTTCTTGTTGAGTACTTGATGGATAATCGCATATCGCGAATTTTCTCAAAAATGTAATGGATATAGGCAATCAAAACTGAGAATAAAATAGCTAAAGCGATGATTTTTATCAATCGTAGCCTCTCGGGTTCTGTCTCACGATGTTTCATAACGAAGTTTGGAATCCATTTGCATGTTGTCCTTTTAACCATGTTGCAAATTTGATGAGAATTTAAGGATTTAAAAATCAAAATTTGAAATAAGATAAATGGGTAAAAGAGAGAGAATGAAATAATTTTATAGGATTTCGTTTTCATTGATAAAAATTTATTTTATGGATATTTCATACAAAACATTTAATTATATAAATATTTTGTAAATATTTGACTTTTACAAAATGTGATTTCACTCGAGCGAAATGAAAAGACCATTATGGAATCATTCAGAAAACAGCCGCAATACACGTATATTAGAACATATATTAGTTAAAATCCTTTAATGGATAATCGGCGTCAATACAATGTACAACCTCTATGATAAGGTTATCGTACAAGAAAAATCATTGAGTTCAACTTTTAAAAAAAAGTTTCTCGATTTGCTCTTTCTTAATTTAGTAAATTTCAAAGAATATAGTTTGCTTGGAAAAACTATTTGAAAACCACCAGTCTTAGCAAAAATTTTTTTTTAATAAATAAATTGGCATTATAATCATTCATGATCAATACCGCGACATTCGATTAAGAAAACTCGAAACTTACATTAGTTTTCGAAATAGGAATACCCTTAGCGAAAGTCAAATTCAAAGTCAAATTCAAATTGAAATTGAATTCAATGTCGAAATCAATGTTGTGTGTGACCTTAAAATCTTTTGAATTCCTAAACCTAAACTTTACATTGAACTTGTTTCGGATCGCAGCATTAGTCAAAATCAAAAACCAAAATTGTAATTTATTTATTCAGTATGACAAATAATAATAATTCTATTTCGATTTCGATTTCCTGAAAGATACGAAGAAAATTGTAAACATTCTGATGATGATAATTCACGTGGAGGCCTCCAAGAATATCGACGTTGTTTATGAAATTACTAAATTAAGTTTTTTATTTCGAATTTTTGAGGCGATCTCCACTACATTTGATTTTCGATTTTCTACTTTCAATATTAAAGTTTAAGTTTGAACCCTTTTCTAATACTAATATTAAGTCAACTTATTTCTCATTCAGGTACTGGTATGATACTTCCTAAACTATTTTCTTTCATTAATTAAAACTTGTGTTATCAGGATTATAAATTCAATGTTACACGAAAACGTATTCTCAAACAGGTCTGGAAATAATATTATTTTCTACAAGATGTAAATCATAAGGTATGTATTAAGATTGTTCAGCCAGATATAGTGCTGACATTTATTAACCAAAGTTGTTATCACGTATCACTTTTTTTGTATTGTGTTAAAGTATTTTGCAAATGTACGGTTCAATCGGACAAAGAAATTTAAAAGTAAATAAATAAGGAACTTCACTAAAGCATTCATTGCTTTATTTGTTGTTAGTTGTACCATAAAAGTATATTTACAGATTCGCTGAAGTTTTCTAGGTACAATAAAGAGGCAGTAAATTCGTAAACAAGTTAATTGATGAGAATTGGATATAAAATCTTGCGGTTAATCGACGAGTGTAGCTCAAAAGTTAATTCAAACTCGGCCATACATATTTGGAAGTTATATGACTTTTTTTCAAATTTCTTTTAGGATTACACACATTGATTATTAAATTTGGTCTATATTATGACATCATGGCCTAATTATGATATTACATATCCGATCTCTTAACAATAATACTTTAAACATACATATTGTTTTTCATTATTAATTAATAATTAAGAAATAATAAACATATCTTCTAATTGATATATCAGACAAAAAAAAAATACAACATATTCAAGATCTGCATTATTTTCAGATCACGTGGATCCGTTCTATAGTAATAGTAATGGTCATATGAAGGTTTTCTGTTATAACCAACGGGAAAACATATCTTTACAAGATGTCATACATAGTCAAAGAAATGGAGTGCATTAGCTTAATTCTCCAATTCAAAAAGACTTTTTAAGTTTTTGTACGGCGCGCCAAGTTGCTCCGTTACACGTTATAGTTGTTATTATATTAATATATACAAAATAATAATATCCATTATAGAAAGAGATTTTTAGATAACAAAAAATTGAAACAAAATTCTTAATTAGTTGAGTTGCATCACATTCTTCATCCAGATAGTCATTGTTCATTGTCATGATCTGTGCACCCAACTCGGGAACTTTAAACATAAAAATCACTTGTTTAATTATTGGCAGAAGAGATATTTGAACGAAGTTTGGATAGAATTAATTTCAATGGTTGTTTCATTTCGAATTCAATTTTAAACGACTAAAATCAAAATCGAAATAGAAATAGAAAATATAAAAAAAAAACAAATATAGTTGAAACAGCATTGACAACAACAAAAATTAATAATCATGGATATTATCACAAATTAGAAATTGCTAAAAATGGCCGAATTATTGGTTTAGATCCAGGCTGCAAGGCCATTTTGTTGATACATTTAGACAATATTAAGTGCAGCATTGATTTTTCACATTAATCGATGCTGAAGACTTTGGTGGCATGTCTATATGAAAAAGTAACAAGTTTGGAATGTTGTTTATAACAAAATCACACAAAAAAAATTCAAATGCAGTTGTTATTTTGGAGATGGACAGTTCTCAAAGTCAATCAACCTTTTGGTGAATTGAAAAAAAGGTGTCGAGTACAGTTGGTAATTGAGTTCTGTACCAGTCAAATTTGCTTTCTATGCTGCGAGAGAAATTTGATCGTAATATCAATGTCTCGCAACATAAGACAATTTTTTTTGCATATCCAAGAAACCGGTGGATTGGTTCCGCCACAATTCAAAAGAAGTTTTCGGCTTGACCAGGTTGATTCGTAACTATAGCGATCAAATTAAGCTTTTAATTCTCCTCTGCGGAATGAGGTTAAGGCCGTAACTTGTTATCAATACATATTGTCCTTTGGCAAATTTGCCTGCAAGGGGGGAAACAACTTTTAAGAAGATTTTTTGTTGAGAAATTTACAATGTTTAATAATTTAGTTTTGTGAGGCGTTATGCTCACTTTGTCCGGTTTTGTTACAGTATGCTCCATATGATGTTAATATTACAAGTGGTTGACTAATGATTGAAAAAAAAATCACTTTTTTTATTAATAAAAAAAGTTATATTAATTTTTGATATAAATTATTTATTATTATAATTATGATTTAATATCTATTCATATAATTCCATACTATAGAATTACTATTTCCATTAGCGTAATAATTTCTTTCGCTTTTTCCGATCTCATCGTCAGAATCAGAATATTCATTTTCTGGTACTATTCTTAAATTCCTTAGATCTTCTATAATAATTTTTTTTAATATAATTAATAAATTAATATATAATACATGCGCGCACATACATATATACTAACGTGACATTCTTATATCTGGATCATTCTCTTCCTCTTCATCATCATAATCTGTATCATAAATGCTAGGTGGAATATCTTTAAAATAAAACCAAAACATAATAAATTATTAGAAATAATAATTACTTGATAAATTAAAATGCCTTTAATAACTCACATTGTAATGGAACACTTGGAGCAAAATTTAAATTTCGTAAATTTTCAAATACTTTTATTCTAATTATGTGAGTAATAAATAAAATTTTCTAATATTAAAAATATTCATTAAAAAGAAAAGAAAAAGAAAAATAACTTTTTTTGTGAAAATATAAGCAGATAAGGAATTTGTACTTCATGTTTTCAAGATAAGATCTTGTATTCATATTTTCCATATTATTTGCCGGAACATCCAATTTATATTCTGGTCCATAATACTCGAAATAATTATTATAAGGTAATTCTATCAAATATAATTAAATTAGTAAATAAGATGCGTATAAATAAACAATGTAAACGTGTGGTAAATACTAATATTTACTTACCTTCAGGTAAATTCTCCCCCACTAATATGCCAGTCTCATAAGTCCATGCACGCGCGACATTACGAATAGTATATCCACCGCCTCCAACAACTAACAAAGGCAAATTAAACCCTCTAACAAATTTTACACATTCTGCATGACCTTTCATTGAAAGGTTAAAACATCCTAATCTATCTCCTGCAAGTGAATCTGCTCCACATTGTAAAACAATTACTCCTGGACGATACCAATTAATGATGTGTTCAACTACCTAAATAAAGAATGTTTAATCATGTATTAATTTATTTATTATATGATGAAATATTGATCTTGAAAAATAATACACACCGGACAAAAAACACTACTATAACTTGTATCATCCATTCCATCTTTTAATGGGAAATTCACTGCATAATGTTTACCTTTAGCAATCCCTATATCCTGATCAACCAAATATACGAAGAGAGAAAAATTACAACTTGTAAATCTTATAAATAATAATATTGAAGATAAAAATATTCATACAGAAACATCGCCAGTTCCTGGGAAAAATTGTCCAAATTTATGAAATGAGCATGTTAAAACTCTATCAGTTGTATAAAAAGCTTCCTCAACCCCATCTCCATGATGTATATCAATATCAACATAAAGAACACGTTGGTAACATCTTTTTTAAAATAATAACAATCTTACCAATTTATCAATAATACAATTCATAAGTTTTACACATACACACCTTAATAATTCTAGAATTGCCAACACAATATCATTAACGTAACAAAAACCAGAAGCTTCGAATCTTTTTGCATGATGAAGTCCTCCTGACCAATTAATCACAATGTCTGCTTCACCATTAGTCAATTTATTTGCTGCATCTATTCACATTACACAAGTATATTTAGAAATTTATTAACTTTAATTATTTGTTTGTCTTAAATATAATAATTACCAATCGATCCACCAGCTGAAATCGAACAAAATTCAAATAATCCATCAAATATTGGACAATCTTCTCCCATATTAACTACAATAATTAATAATAATAATTAATAAAGATTGAATAAAAATAAAATTAATTAAAAATTCCCAATTTAAAATACAAACATCGTGTCTGTTGTTGAGATAATTCTTCGACATTTAATGGTGTAACTCTATGCAAAAAATCAATATATTCATCAGTATGAAATCGCGTCATTTGTCTTGGTGATGCACGTTTAGGAGTCTATTTTTATTATTATTATAACAAAGGTTGAAAAGTGAATTGCATGAATTGTCTTTTCTTCTTTTTAATTAAATTAAAAAAAAACATACAAGTATTTCCATTTTATGAAATAAGTTATAATTCACAACTAGATTGTGAGTCATTCGCATTCTATGAGGCTTCATCGGATGCCCTAGTAGATAAAAATACAACAGATAAAAAAATATTAATAATAAGCTACATGCCAAATCAATCTATAAAGATAACAAATACCTGGACCATATGTAAAGTTTCCAACATCCTCTATAAAAAATAAAAATGCAGGTTTTTTTGAAAAATATAATGAATAATGTAAACTGAATTGATAGTTATATAATTATAACTGATAATAATAATTAGTCGCTTGTGTTGAAATGTTTCTTTATTTTCTTTATTTTACCATCATAATAGTAAACAACGCGTCTTTTTGATTTAGTAAATTCTGCGAGACTCGCCATAGCTTATGAAATTTTTTCTTTTAATGTTATTGTTCTTGAATGAAAAAATTCCGTTTAAAAATAATAAATATAAATATAACAGGTTGTCACAATTTTGTATGCCATCATCACATTTATGTAGCATAATGGACATTCGTTTATCACATAGTGACAAAATCGAATGCAGATCTTTTTTAATGCTTGCAACAGCATATTTTCAATTGTTTTAAAATAGAAGGCTGGCTGGTTATAACACAAGTGATTAAAAACTACTTGTAAAATGAAAGGGAGATCATTGATTTTGAAGGATTTCAATATGTACCGAATTTTTTCAATTTTATTAACATAATTTTATACAAAAATAAAAAAACTAATATATAGACAGGTAAAGAAATAATATATATAACACACACATATATACACACATATATATAAACTATTATTAAAACAACTATTTTTTTATATTCTTTCAAAGATGACAATTCTCAAAGAAAAACAAAACTGGATTATAAAATAATATATATGGGGCATGCTGCAACAAAACCAGACAGAGTGAACATTGGTATTACCTAAGGTTTCTGGTCCAAACTGTTTTCTCAAAGCCCAAACTAGTTTGGGCAATTTGGGCTTCTCAACATTTTTT